AGGTGCAGCTGACACTAACATGTCATGGACCAGAAAAATTAATAACCAGAAATAAATACTGTGTGTAATTTTTCACAAACATATTTTGTTTTCTTGAAAATGTTTCAATTTTTGCTGCAGAAGATGCAGTACTTCTATGTTCAGTTTTGGTTATGACATCAATCGTAGTTCACTACGATACTGATGGTTTGAAGGTTCCTATTCCTACAGGACATATCTTATAGAATATTTTATTGATTGATTACAAAACAAATACAGAGAATATTGCAATGTAATGCAAATATATCAAGGGGTCCCCCAGTATGCAACTACTGCTCCAATGTGCCATTCCTTCATCACTATGAAATACTACAAATGCATTAAGATTGTTCATCTTTTGAACAGTAATGCTTATTTTTAATTAGACATACCAGAGGTGTACATTGATAATGGTACCCTTTGCATAATGTTACTATTAGATATACTGTAGCTGTATAAATCAGTGGTGAATTTTGTATGAATGATTGTTTACATGAATGATGTACAAAATGGTTTTACATATAATAAATTCAAATGATACTGGGTACCACTGTCTTTGAAAACATGTAAGATGAGACTGGAAAATATTATCTACTATTATAATATCTGGGAACAAATACAACTTTTTTTTGCTGATTGCACTGTTTTCCAAATTTAATTTACAAATATTACTGTTCAAATATTTGGGGTCGGCAAGATTTTTATTTTTATTTTTTTAAAGAACAATGCTACTTTTATTCAGTAAGGATTAAGCAAAAGTGACAGTAAAGACTTTTACATTATCAGAAAAGATTTCTATTTTAAATAAAGGCTGTACTTTTGAACTTTCTATTCATCAAAGAATCCTAAAAATATGTACTACTGGAAAATTGTTTAACATGAAAATGTATTTCTGTCATACAGGAATATACTACATTTTAAAGTAAACGTCTTTTAAATTATAACAGTATTTACTGTTTTATTGCAGTTTTTGTATTTCAAATCTTTTTATTAGCATTTTCAATAACAGTGCAGAACGATACATCATATAAAAAAAGCAGTAAACCACAGGAAAATGTCCATATTAATCTCTCCCACAAACCTTTCATTATTGCTGTTTTTGGTGTATACATATAATAAATGCAGCCTTGGTGAGCACAAGAGACTTTTTCAAAAACATTAAAAAATCTTGCCAGTCCCAAACTTTTGAACATAGATTCTATCATGAAGCTGTATGAAATGTTTCCTGAGTTTGCAAACCAGTAAAAAGGGATAAGAAAATAAAAACATTAGGACAGAGAGACTCAAGAATAGCAGGACATCAAGTCCTTCCTGAATATCTCTTTGCTCTGAGAGACAAATTAACATTCACAAACAATCACTTAGCAACACTCAAAAGAACAAACACAACTGTTCAAACATATGCAGTCATTTAGAAGCACTCCAGCATGAACAATAAAGCAGATACAAGGCACAAACCATGAACTCTTTTCATTTCTCAACTGCTGGAAGTAATTGAAGTACTGAAGATGTCATCTTTAAATAACTATGTGTATATCCCTACGGGAACAGTGACTGAGATTGAATGGGAGGAGGAACAGTGTGACTCATGCTTTGGCCAAAGGAATTATGGCCCATTTGGGATTGGACTTTGCAAGGGAAGGGTGTGTTTGTGTATAAATGCACTTACGACCAGTATAAAACAGAATCTTCAGCAAGACTATAGGACTTCACAACTGATTTTGAGAGTCGGCCATGTCTCAAGTAAGAGAAAGATGACCACAGAAGAAATTCTGATCATTTTTTCTTGTCATTCATTTTTCTGTTTCTCTTCAGCAGGGTGAAGAAGTTAAGAGGCCTGAGGTAAAAGCAGAGGATTTGATTGGAGCCAAGGATAAATTGGCATCTGGAACAGAGGTGAAGAGCAAGACCTTTGAAGTGATGCAGGAATGCGGTGAGTCGAGCAGCAACTGATCATTCAGTTAGAAGTTTGTGTGTGGAATCAAAATGTCACTGAATCCAAGTGTCCTTTTTTGACTTGGAGCCAAGAGGAAGAAAGAAGAGCCGGGTGTAATATGTGTCTGGTTTTTGTAATGTTTCCACTCCATATATAGCAGGAAGTCAGAACACAAAAACACGGGGGAAGACACTCTTCTACTAAACACTTTTTTTATGTGATGTTTATTGTCTATCATTTGTCTTACGTGTTTATATTGACTAATTTGTGTTTCTGATTCCTGAAGATATCCCTTTTTTTTTTCTAGCCTTTTATAATCTCAACTTCAAGATCCCAGCTGTAATATTTTACAATGTACTAATTTATCACCATTGTATAAACAGACCATCAATGTTCCCTTCAATTTTAAGTTATCATCAAGACTATTAAAAGATTGTATATCATTAAGAAACACATGAATCTTTAAGAAACACTAACACATGAAACATGAGAAATTTGTATTTGACGCTATATACTTCACTTCTCAGTTAAAATTACTTTGTCTTTTGTCAATTCATGCATGTATAATTTACATAAACGGAGCCCTTTGTAATGAGGTAACTGAAATTCAAATGTGTTGGATGTTGTAGTTTGTATTATTGTGTATCCTGAGTATCTTTCTGTCTCTGCTTTTAGAACAGGCTGGGAAGGTCGCACCATCCATCTTCAGCAATGCTCGCTCAGGATCTGAGACTGCCTTTAACAAACCCAGCAAGAGAAAGTAACACTATGAAACCAGTTTCACTGAATCATACAGCTAAAACATGTATTTATAAATGAATCTAAAGCATTAACATTGAAAACAACTCGGTAGTTTTTGTTTGAACATTGTCATCGTTCAACATTTAGCACAGCTGATAACCTGATCTTAATATGTACCTAAATGTACTTTTTTCCATTTTTCTAAAAAGGCTTTAAACAATTAAAACGGACTTAATACATTTTTTGAAAAATATCCTAGAATGCTACTTTAGTTGCAAGGTTTATTGGATAAATAATAAATAAATAAACTTGTTGGTTTGGTTTTAAATTGAACAGAAGTTGAGCATTTGATTTTGTGTGAAAATGAAATATTTGTCATAAAAAAGTCCCATTTATATTTCACATTACTATCAAAAAAGATTTATTTTCAAAACAAAAAGAACAGCAGACAGGACGATGGAAAACTTATCCCGCAGGAAAATAACAAAACTGGGGGATGAAACTAAAGAAATCAGGTTTTCTAAGCACATTAAATAGAGAATGTTTTCTTATCTGTTTTTCTACCAGTTTTTTGACTAACAACAACTGACACAGTTAGGTAAAACAATAAAGTAGCCATGCATTGATGTTGAATTGGCTTAAAACAGGTTACAGCGGTCATACTGTTAGAATGTCATGACAAATGTGAACTAAACAACCAGTAAAGCACACTAAAGCAGGCTGTACATTTATTTCATAAACTTGGTGTGCTGATCTTGTAGGATCTTTGCAGAGGACTTAGCATCATAGAAGAGTTCATTAATTTCTTCCACTTGTTCCTTTTCGACTACTTCCCTTCCCTGAACTCGTGCCAGCAGACTGGCAGGGGTCAGCAGCTGCACTGCGTATCTGCATTTACACAAACTCACACATTAGCCAAAATGACCAAACCAAATTGCTTAAATTATAAATGCATGATAATGAGAATGCAAGCAGCACAGAAATAAATATGACAGTTCAATGCTAATCTAAATAAGTAGATATGTATTTCAAAACGCAGTAAAAAGTATTACCTAAGTGTAGTCTTGGTACCGATCTCTCCAAGATGAGATAAAGCCTCCTCGCTGATGTTGATTCCTTCTGTCTGAGCTCTGATCTTTATGATCTATAGCAACATGCAAATGAAACAACAGCATGAAATGTTTAATTCATCTTTTATAATGTAAAAACTTTATTTTTAAGCAGCTTGTTTTGACAATTTTAATGCCCACCTGTTTCATTTCTTGAGGAGTGTACAGCATAGTTCTGATAATCAAGACTCGATCCAGCAGATCCAGTGGAATACCGTGAGGAGAGCTGATATCCTCTGTTCCCCTAACACATTATTATGTATAACTGTACACTTGCCAATCAAATGGATCATTCTAATAGCTGGTCACAGCAAACTATGATGATCTAATAATGAACAATAATTTTACAACACTTATTAAAGGGATACTCCACCCCAAAATGAACATTTTGTCATTTGTAACATTTTTACTACATACTCATTTATCACCATTTTATAAATATACTATCAATGTTCCCTTAAATTAAAAAAAGTCACCAGTAAGTTATCAGACTATTAAAAGATTGTGTACACCACTAAGAATGTGAAATTTGTATTTGACCTATGTTTTATATCTTAGTTCAAATCTAGTTTGTATTTTGTCAATTCAAGCACATATAATTTAAATAAATGGAGCACTTTGTATTGAGGTGGCTGAAATTCAAAAGTGTCGGATTATGTAGCTTGTATTTTTGTGTGTTCTGATTCTTTTCTTTCTGTCTCTGCTGTTAGAACGAGCTGGGAAGGTCGCGCCATCCATCTTCAGCAAAGCTCGCTCAGGATCTGAGACTGCCTTTAACAAACCCAGCAAGAAAAAGTAACACTATGGAACCATTATTTCACTAAATCATACAGCTAAAACATGTATTTATAAATGAATCTAAAGCATTAACATAGAAAACAACTGAAGTTTTTGTATGAACACTGTAACCATTCAACAGCACAGCTAAACGATATTAATAGTTAGACTGATCTTATGTACCTCAATGTACTTTTTAATATTTCTTAACTTTTTTCCTGAATTAAAAAAGGCTGTAAACAATTAAAACTGAATAATACTTTTTTTTTTCCTTAAATATCCCACAATGCTAGTTTTAAGTTTTTATGGAAAATAAATAAATACATGAATACATAATTTGTTGGTTTAGTTTTAAATTGAAAAGAAGCATTCGTTTTTGTGTGAAAATGAAATATGTCATTAAAAAGGTCCCATTTTTATTTCACATTACTATCAAAAAAATATTTATTTTCAAAACAAAAAATTGAACAGCAGACAGGACAATGGAAAACTTACCCTACAGAAGAATAACAAAAACTGTGGGATGAAACTAAAGAAATTAGGTTGTCTAAGCATGTTAATTATGGAGAGAATGTTTTCTTTCCTGTTCTTCTGACTAACAACTGACAAAATTAGGTAGAACAATACATTAGCCATGCACTGATGTTGAACTAGCTTAAAACAGCTGTCATACTGATATAATGTCATGACAAATGTGAACTAAACCAGTAAAGCAAACTAAAGCAGACCGTACAAAGAATGTGAGCGAGAGTGCTGGAGTTATTTCATAAATTTGGTGTGCTGATCTTGCAGGATTTTTGCAGAAGACTTTGCATCATAGAAGAGTTCATTAATTTCTTCTACTTGTTCCTTTTCGACTACTTCCCTCCCCTGAACTCGTGCCAGCAGACTGGCAGGGGTTAGCAGCTGCGCTGCATATCTGCATTCACACAAACACACATTAGCCAAAATAACCAAATCGCAGAAATGATAAATTCATGATAATGAATAACTGAGAATGCCATTAGCAAGACATAAATAATTATGACAAATCTAAATCAATAGGATATGTTTTTAAAAATGTAGTAATCAGTGTTACCTGAGTGTAGTCTTGGTACCGATGTCGCCAAGATGAGATAAAGCCTCCTCGCTGATGTTGATTCCTTCAGTCTGAGCTCGGATCTTTATGATCTATAGCAACATGCAAATTAAACAACAGCATGTAATGTCTACTTCATCTTTCAGAATGTCATAAAAGATGTAAGTAGCAACTTGTTTTGATGCAAAGCCCACCTCCCACCTGTTTCATTTCTTGAGGAGTGTACAGCATAGTTCTGATAATCAAGACTCGATCCCCAGTGGAATCAGTGACAATAAAGAAAGAAATTTCTATTGCACTTATTACATGATTATTACACTTATTTAAAAGTAGAAGCTACAATTTATAAACTACGAATAAACTATTAAATGGTTACTCCACCCCAAAAATGAAAATGTTGTCATTAATCACTTACCTCCATGTCGTTCCAAACCTGTAAAAGCTTCGTTCGTCTTTGGAACACAATTTAAGATATTTTGGATGAAAACCGGGAGGCTTGTGACTTGTCCCATTGACTGCCTAGTAAATTACACTGTCAGGGTCCAGAAAAGTATGAAAGACATCGTCAGAATAGGCCATCTGCCATCAGTGGTTCAACCGTAACATATTGATTGAACGCAAGCAGCGAACAAGCTTCTGTGTCAGCCGCGACACAAGGTTACGTTTTCTACGTGTATTTACGCTTTTATTTGAACGAAAACAGGCTGACGGCTGCACGGCTGACACAGAAGAGCGTAGGCTGCTTGCGTTCAGTTGTTATTCTCCAAAATGGCGCTACGGTGATGCGGAAAGACACAGAGGAGACGAATTGTTGAATAAAGTCGTTATTTTTGTTTTCTTCGCGTACAAAAAGTATTCTCGTCGCTTCATAATGTTACGGTTGAACCACTGGTTGTAGATGGACTATTCTGACGATGTCTTTCATACTTTTCTGGACCCTGACAGTGTAATTTACTTGACAAACGAAGCTTTTACGGGTTTGGAACGACATGGGGGTAAGTGATTAATGACAAAATTTTCATTTTGGGGTGGAGTATCCCTTTAATGTAGGGTAATGTGAATTTTTACATATATTAATATATTTTTAACAAGTTGTATAAATTAACATTAATTTACATAATGAACAGAAATAAACAATTAACAATAATATATTTATAAATAAACGGCAACACTTTACAATAAGGTTCCATTTATTACCATTAGTTAACTACAATAGTTAACATGAATTAACATTGAAAAAATACTTCCAAAGCATTTATTGGTAACACTTTACAATAAGGGGTCATTTGTTAACATTAGTTAATGTATTAACTAACATGAACTAACAATGAACAATACATTTGTTACAGTATTTATTAATCTTTGTTAATGATAGTTAATGAAAATAGTTATTCATTGTTTGTTCATGTTAGTTCACAGCGCATTATCTAATGTTAACAAATACAAATTTTGATTTTAATAATGAATTATTAAATGTTTAAATTAACATTAACTAAGATCAATAAATGCTGTAGAAGTATTGTTCATGCTTAGTTCATGTTAACTAACACAGTTAACTACTGTTAACTAATGAACCTTATTGTAAAGTGTTACCCATTTATTCATCTTAGTTTATGTTAATTTCAACATTTACTAAAATATTAAAAATAGTTGTATCTGTTAATATTATTTAATGGACCTAAGCTAACATGAACTAACAATGAACAGTTGAATAGATACTGCAACAAATGTGACCCTGGAGCACAAAACCAGTCGCTGAGGTATATTTGTAGCAATGCAATAGCCAAAAATACATAGTATGGGTCAAAATTATTGATTTTTCTTTTATGCCAAATATCATTAGGATATTAAGTAAAGATCATGTTCCATGAAGATTTTTGTAAATTTCCTACTCTAAATATATTAAAACTTCATTTTTGATTAGTAATATGCATTGCTAAAAACGTCATATGGACAACTTTAAAGGCGATTTTCTCAGTATTTTGATTTTTTTGCACCCTCAGATTCCAGATTTTCAAATAGTACTTCATTTTTGATTAGTAATATGCATTGCTAAGAACTTTATTTGGACAACTTTAAAGGCGATTTTCTCGATATTTTTATTTTTTTGCACCTTCAGATTCCAGATTTTCAAATAGTTGTATCTCGACCAAATATTGTCCTACCCTAACAAACCACACATCAATGGAAAGCTTATTTATTCAGCTTTCAGATGATGTATAAATCTCAATTTCGAAAAATTGACCCTTATGACTGATTTTGTTGTCCAGGGTCACAAATGATAATTGTTAGTTACCATTAGTTAATGCAATAACAAACATTAACTAATGGGACCTTATGTGAAGTGTTGCCGAATAAAAATTAACTAAAAATGTTAAATACAAAAATTTTTATAAATGCTGTGTTCTTTGTTAGTTCATAATACCTAATCCATTAATGTTAACTAACTGAACTTTACTGTAAAATTGTCACTTAATATCCTACAAAAGTGAGACAAAGCTAATTTAATTGACTACGTTTCCCATTGTATCAAAAACACACCTTATAAGGCAGTTTCCTCGATTGGATGCAAACACTACGATGGGAGCAATGGAGCTCTCCAGTGCTCGATGTAGGTAGGTAAAACACTCGATGTCCAGCATGTGAACTTCATCAATGAACAGAACACCAGGAACCAGCTCTGCCACACCCTGATCAATGTACTTGTTCACCACCTTATTGATCTCCCCTCTCAGTTTATCTGAATACAGAATACACACAAAAAAAAGATAAACAAAAGTTAAACAAGGCTTCATTAAAGATCCTGTTATGATTATCAGTATATAATGTATGATACCTGTGATTTCTGTCTTCTTGGGTTTCATCATTTGACCCATCATAGAAAGTATGTCCTGGCCTCCCTGGAAAACACAGTACGCTCATATGATCAGCATTATGGGGATCCACTTGAAATGCTGGAAAACATGATGTTTGTGTGCACATACCTGAGGTCTTGCATTAGCAATATCCAGGTCATGAAGTGTAACATCCTGAATAATCTCTTTCTTCTTGTGTACATCACCTTTTGGAAGAGGTACGTACTCTTCCGCCTCCAGATCAAACTCTGTTGCAAACGTGTCACATCGTCCCTGCCTCTGCAGACCAAAAACAAAAGGACTGATTATGAATGAACTCAAAAGCCTTGAGAGATTTTGGGACCATTAAATAGGGTCAATTTATTTACAAGGGAAGTGTACTGCACTTTATGTGATGTAGGATTTTGTTGAAATACTAGAGTTGTGCAACCATATATGTGTGTACACTACTTTCAAAATGTTTTTGAAAGAAATCTATTATGCTGACCAAGTCTGCATTTATTTGATCAAAAATACAAAAAATAAAAGAAAGAAAAAGAAATAGTGACAGTTAAAAATCTGAATATATTTTAAAAAGTTAAAAAATATATAATATATAAAAAAGTTGTGCTGCTTAATATTTTTGTAGAAATTGTATTTTTTTTTCAAAATCCTTTAAAAAATATAAAGCTAAAAAGAACAGCATTTGTAACTAGTGTTGTCAAAAGACCCGGTATTTCGGTACCAAGTCGGTAC